CTAATGAGAAGCTTATGTTCGATAAGCATACGTAAATAGGAAGAAGTCGCAATTGCGTTTTTCATCACTTATTACTGCGAAATCGAATCGATAAGAGTATAAACTGACGTTGCAAGTAATAGTTTATGCTTAATACGTTCGAAGTTGTTGCAGTGTTGCACAACATTTCCTATTGATCGAACGAAACTGGCATGAGTTTCATAGAAAAATGATAAAAAGATAAACACATTTCATTTGCTCCTACGCGAATTATTCTTCTCTTCTGTGACGAGTCATGAAAAGATGACGATCGTGAATGTAAAATGTAAAATCTGAAAGAGATACTCTCAATTTATTGGCGCAGTATCAGCATATTAAAGAACATTTAACCCCTTGACTTATAATATCGAGTCGTGCACGTGGTGCGAGTTAAGGTCTCGACTTAAAAGGAAAATTGTATGAAATGTTAAATCAGCTTTTAAATTCAATTTCAATTAATTTTAAAGTTAAAAACTTACTTTGAAATTAATTTTCAACAGTTTCAACAAGTGATGCTTGCTTCTTAACGTTGAAAAGGAAAAGCCGCAAAGCAAGTGATTTAATGTATTCAACTGTCTTTCACCTCCGTAGAACGTGGTAACAATCGATCCTGCGTCGAAATGTTGCACCCTCGAGTGTCCAGCAGCCGGAGGCGCCGGAAACGGCAAGGTGTATCAATTCGACGCGGCCTTCGACCCGCAAGCAACCACGGAGTCCGTCTACGAGAACGTTGGCTCGGTCATCGTGGAGGCTGTGCTGGACGGCTACAACGGCACGGTGTTCGCCTACGGGCAAACAGGCTGCGGGAAGTCGCACACGATGCGAGGATTCATCGAACGCACCCTCGACCACATCTTCGAGGCCACGTCGACGGCCAGCGCGCAAATGAGATACCTGGCCTTGCTCAGTTACCTGGAAATTTACAACGAACGACTGAGAGACCTTCTGCAGGATGGCATGAACGATATGCTGACGTTGAAGGAGGACCCGAATCGCGGGACTTACGTGGCCGGTGGTTTAAGGGAGGTCACGGTGAAAGACGCGGCCGAGTGTGCCCGGCTGGTCGAGCAAGGCGACAGAAGAAGAGCGGCCGCAGCGACTAAAATGAACGCGGCCAGCTCGAGGAGTCACGCGGTGCTGACCTTGTCGTTGGAAACGCTGGCCATTAACGAGGAGAATAGCAAGACTGAGAACACGGTGAAGAGAGGAAGGCTTCATCTGGTGGATCTTGCTGGGTCTGAGAGGCAAGCGAGGACCGGCGCCACTGGCGATAGACTGAAAGAGGCAGCTAGCATTAATCTAAGTCTTTCCGCGCTGGGGAACGTGATCAGCGCGTTGGCTGCTGGTCACGGGAGGCATGTGCCGTACAGGTATGACGAAATTATATACGTGTGATGGAATTTTAAAATACACCATCGGTTACTAAACTAATTCTTTCCTTTTCCCCTTTTTATTCAATATTCTCTGTACAGGGACAGCAAACTAACCAGGTTACTGAGAGACAGCCTCGGTGGGAACGCAAGAACTCTAATGATAGCCTGCGTAAGTCCCAGCGACGTGGATGCTGAAGAAACTCTGAGCACGTTGCGATACGCGGCCAGAGCACGATGTATCAAGAACAAGCCTGTGATCAACGAGGATCCAAAGGATGCCTTGCTGAGGCAGTATCAACTGGAACTGCAACGTCTGAGGAAGATGCTCGAGTCGAACGATCAATCGCTCGTGAAAGAGATTCCCGTGACAGAGGAATCCTGGAACGAGCAGAGTATCAAACAGAAAACATACGCCGAAGAAGTAGACAGACTGAAGAAGGAATGTGAGAACTCGAATCTGTCTGCTCAGAAACTTCGAGAGGAACTGGAAGCCGTGAAAATTCGCTATGAAACTGGCGCCATGAGTAACGCGAGACCGAAGCCCGTTTCACAACAGCCGATGGACGAGCAGGACCTGGAACGCGAAGAAAGGCGAAGAAAGAAGCGAGAGGCGGCCATGCAAGAGGTATTGAAAAGGCTGGAAAAGTTAACTATAGGAGGAGAGGAACAAGGAAATGCTGAACTGAGAAGGCGGAGGGAGAAAAGGAGGAAAAAGCTGGAGGCTCTCGCTTCGGCTCTGGAGAGCAGCGCTCATGAAGGAAATGGAAGTGTCTTCCAAGTCTATGGTCAACTTAGGTTGGTAACTACCGATTTTTCTATTTTCCTCTTTGTCTCTCACTCAATTGTCATACTAACTAAAGTTACATTAAACTCACCTGAAAAACTGTATTCATAACGTAGATCGACAGAGGACGCGCTGAAACGAATGGCGAAACGAGTGAAGCAACTCGAAGCGGAAGCAGCCGATCTTCAAGCTTCCTGGGACGCGGAGCGACGAGATCTTTTACGCAGAGAGCTGCTTACCTCTCAGATATGCGACGCGATGGTTCCTCACCTTCGGCCAGGCTGTCCGTTTCGCGACGTTGCTAGCGTGAGAGCCGCGGCTACCTGGTGCGACGAGCTCGGTCGTTGGAGATTGCCGGATGTGTCGCCGCACATTTCTCTTCCTCCGGCGTCGCTGGTGCTTAAAGACAATATACAGTGCAACGTAACGCCTTCCAAACCCGATCTGAACAATAATAGCAATAGCAACAACAAGGACAACGAGGATGAGATTGGCAACGAGGCTGACAACGAAGAGAGCAGCGAACAGGAAGAAGTGAAGAAACCAGACATCGTTGGCACGTACTTCCGACGGAACAGGATTGACAAATTGCTCGCCCACGTCAGAGAAGCAAAGACCTTTGGTAAGGTCTGAAATTTGTACGAGGGAATTACTTTCGCTTAAATAACTACTTTGCGTTTACAAATTGGCAAGTTTTAATAAAATTAACAATCGCGATAATCGTGTTGACAGAGCCGTGTAATCGACTCAGCAAGTCAGGTGGCTCCGAGGATACCATTCCGTTTGGAGGCAATCATCTTCAACTGAATGCCCTAAATCTACAAAGTAGCGCGCCTGTGATCGGTGACTTGGACAGTTACAAGCTGACTCAACGTCTGCCAACCGGACGAATTAGTAGACCCGGTTGGATGTTGGAGGAGAATTCGACGAACAACAAGAGCTCCCTCGTCAATCAAACGATAAAACGGAACCCTCCTCGAATTTTGGAAGCGTTGCCCTCGTATCCGCAAGGTACGAACGGTGCGTTCAAACTTGGCAATAAATCCATATCGGAAAGAATATCCGACAAACTATCGTCGAGATTCATTCACAACCAAGTGGACGATAATCATTCAACGTTGGTTGAACACGCTCGTTCCCCCATGTATTGAGGCTGAAGATACAAAGGGTAGTGATAATTGGGAACACTGGACTAGAATCATATCAGTGGGAGACGTGGATGAGGTACTATACTTGTTAACACTTGGTTATATATATATATATATATATATA